GACAGCCAAGCATGTCTAAATACAAGAACTGTGAAACCAGCTCACCCAGAAGATGGGCAGAACCAGGATTTAAGGAGGCACTCACTATTGCATCATTGAGGCAAGCTCAAGGTCCTTATCTTTTGGGAGCTTCCTTTAATCCTGTACCCTGGGAGTTTCACCCCAGTCCGGGCTCTGAAATGGTCTCTAACTACAAGGAAAACAGCAAAGAACTAATGTTGATCTTTGGAGCTACTTAAGCTTTTTTTTTTAAGACATCATAACTATCTGACTCTGGGAGAGGCATTTTATATCCTCCCACTTTGCAGACAGGGAAACTGAACAATATGCCACATGCCGACCCTTCTGTCCAAGCCAATACTAAATGTGCCACTGCTGCAGTGAGTAAGTGATACAGCTCCATTTACTAGAAGAGTAGCAGTTGCTGACAGCAACCACCATGCCCTGTACGTTGCCCACCAGTCTCGGTTCCAAGCCAGATAGGCTCCATTTAGAAGACAGGCATGTGATTCTCGCTTAAAAATAGAACAACATAAAAACTATCGGTAGCCGGCAAAGGATGATGGAGAGGAGAGGGACCAGGATAGGAAAAGGAAGTGAGAAGGGGAAGAAAGAACAAAGAGAAGCCCACCCACCACATAGCTTCTTTTGCCAGCTCCAGGGTGATGGGGGGTGGAGGTGAGATACACACAAGGCCCATGGAACTCAAAGCTTTGGCAGTATCTTTGAGGATATCCTGGGGAACTCCAAGCAGAGGGATTTCTGTGGTTAGACTGGCCTCACCCAGAGAAGAATCCAGCCTTTATCTGGGGCTTGGATGAAAGCCCTGAACCGTCAAGAAGCCAAGCTAGGTGGGGTACAGAAAAATAGAAGTGTGTGTCTCCCTGGATATCCACCCCTTTCCACAGAAGGAAGCAGTCTACCGCCTGGCTCATCGGCAAGGCCTGCCTGATACTGCCCATGAGTACTGACAGGGCGAAACTGTGGTGCAGAAACCATTCTGGGCCAGTGAGAGCCCTAGAAGCTCAACAAGACCTTGCTCAGCTTCCAGAACCATGGGCATGAGACCTGCATTTAGCCCCTTTATAAATTGTCCCTGTCTTCAAACTACATAACCAGCTCCAAAGCATCAGACCTGGAGGCTGACTGCAGTTCAAATCCTGTGTCTACCAAGCTTCTGGGTAAGTGAGTTCACCTAGCTTAGTTTCTTTGTCTGCAAAAATGGGGAGGGCACCAGCAGCATTGTAGAGACTCAATAAGATAATGGAGAAAATGTTGCAGCCTCGTTTATTGAGCACTTACTATCTCTCTGCTACTTGTCATTGTTTGGAAAGCATTCCAAACAGTCTGGCAGCTATTAAGTGCTCAATAACTATGGCCACGGTATTGTTGCTGTTTTATTATTTTGATTATGCTCCAGACTCAGTGGGGCCCCAGGCAGGAGACTCAGTGGCCATCTGAGCACAGACATACTGCCCTCTGGTGCTGCTGCTGAGGAATCAGCACCAGGAAGAACAGCCCTCAAGGAAAAAAGGCCAAGGCCAAGGTGCCAGCTCATCCAACCTTCTGGGGGACTCTACCTACCCAGGGTTCCTACCCCACCACTCCAGCCTGTGGAGGATATGCCAGGGTCTGCTGGCTACAGGCTCCGGAGGAGGGCCTTATTCTTGCATGTCAATCCTCTGTGTTGCCAGGCAGGGCCTAGAGACTTCCATCCCCTGCCTGCTTTTATGTGACCTAGTAAAGGATCAGATCTCACTTGCCTCTAGAAGGTCCTGAGCAAGACTGACAGGGCTCAGGCTGTAGCTGTAGCTGTAGCAGGGAGAGAGGGGTGGCTGACTGTGAGAGGCATTAGAAACAGCCTTAGCTATAAAAGCACAAATCTCCTCCTCCAAGACTATCGGAAGTCTTCAGCTTCCCTTCCATACGTCCACGCCCACCCCCACCCCCACCCCTGAGGAAGGATAGTTCTAATACCTACTGATTCACCGGGACCTTCTGTCTCTGCAGGGTACTCTACTTCTCAGAGCTGGAATGCTGTGCCTGTGTGAACATGGGGGCTCACTGGGGGTCACAAAGGGTGCTAAAGGGAGCCAAGCATTCCTGCATTTCCGTAGGGGTGAAGAGCAGAGATCAACCTCTTTAAAACAGAGCTATGGGGCAGTACTTCTAAACTCAACCCGCCATGCACAGCCACAAGGGGATGCCCATGACCTCAGAAAAGCTTAACAAGGCCTGGCTCACTCTACACATGCCATCCTAAAAACCCCAGGTCATCCTGCCACCAAAAGACTGCTCAGCGCAGTGCGAGCATCGAGGAGAAATTAAACTCCAGCTGGAGAAGAGGGGGGAGCCTGAGCCGACAGGAGCAGCTGGGCTGAAAAGTGAGCAGAAATTCCTCAAGTTAATGCTTTCTAAGGCCCCTCGGGCCACTCCCAGGTTTTGTCTGAAGCTATTTACTTCTGGGGGGAAAACCCTATTGATCTTCATTCAGCGGCTGTCTGTTCCTACAAGGCGCAATGTCTCCGCACATCGCCAGTCACAAGAATCCCTCATTGTTTTACATGCAGTGACTCTCAAACTCAAGAGGCGGGTGTCCAGGACAATTTGAATGATCTGATCAGAGGAGTGGCACATGGGAGGGGGGTTTCAGTCCCCAGAGAAGGGCTGCTGGATCCCTATACATTCAGAAACTGCTTAGCTCTACCCTGTCTGCAGATGCTCTAAGAATGCAGAGCTGGGTGCACACTCCCCTCCCACCCCACCCCCTTACACCTGCTTTATGTCTCTGCAGTCATTTGGCTTTGAACTTCCCTACTGGCTGGCCAGAGTCCACTACCAGCCACCAGGCTCTTCATCACAGGAAGACTGGCCAGGTTTCCCCCGTTGCTGCCACCGCTACCTGGTTCCTTTTTCAAATTCCAAGCAGCCCTCAATCCTATAGTCTATCTGGAGTCCTAGGGAAACTACAACCAGGAAACCTACAACTGCCAGCCTGTTCAAAAGGAAACTTGACACCACGGTTTATGTCAACCAAATTGTGCGCATCTGTGGAAACTGAGCACCTGAGTGGGAAGGCTAGGATTGTATTAAAGTGATCCAGCTCACTAAGAACAAAAACCAGAAAATCCAAGCCTCTGGTTTGTATGTCTGTCTCCCATCCTCTTCCGCTTCTAGGTTATGAACCTGCAAATCCAAGTCCCCACGGAAGGTCACTAAAGCTCATTTGGCTGAGAAGACCTTGCATCTAGTTGCCTATCCTGAGTTAAGACCAGGATCCATTCAAACAACAATAACAACGACAACAATAATAATAAAATTCGGAGCAATCTGCCTCACAAGCCTTCGATGGAAGCCCTTTATAATCACACACAGAATACATCCTCCACATATTCATATAAAATAATCAATGATCATTTTTCCCGCAGACTACAATCCAATTACTCTCTCTCCCTCACTCTCTCCCTCACTCTCCTTTGTTACTTGCAAACCATCCAAGCAATCAATGCCTTGACCTCTCCCTCTGATAGACACAATTACAAAAAGACAGAGCAATGCAATTCATCTATTCAAGACAGATTGTTTGAACACTCTGTCACACTGCTGAGCTATCCATCTCCTTGTCTAAGAGGGAATTTCAGCCCCCAAAAGAGGCACAAAGAGAAGGGGCGGGTACCACACTCCTCAGGCCAGAGAGCCCATCTTGCACCTGCAGGTAAACCCTCTCTGGCCCTATGTGCTCAGCGACGCCTGGCTGCTGGAGAAGAGATTCAGGCTCCGAGGTCCAGCAGTTCTGGCAGAAGCACCCAGCATGCTTCAGAGGAGGCCAATTTCCAGGGCCTCCATCCCTGAAGCCCCAGCCAAGAGGCCTCAGATCCCAGAGATGGGAAAAAGAGAGATGGCTTTCCAGTCTAGCCAAGGCAGTATCTTTTGGTTGCAGCTTGCCCCCCCCCCCACACACACACACAGCCTCTCGAGCCCTGACTCCTGCTAGGGTTCAACCTCAAGCTCTGGAATGACAGAAGCTCAGCTCCCAGGGCAGCTCCAAAGAAGCCCAGAAGCCTCAGAGCCTTCCCATCCTCCACCCAAAGCTGGCCCTGCTCCAGTAGTCATGTTTGGCATCAGTACAGCACCCCAGTCCTCGGGCTGGGAGTCAAATAGGGAAGGGTTCTTGGATATAAATGGACTGGGCCGACTCGCTAATTAATCCTGGGGCTTAATATGAAGAAGATTAGAAGGGGGAGGGGGCTCTGCCATCCTTAATTTCGATATTATGTTGTGGCTCAAGAAAGGGCCACAGGTTTGGAATGTGCTCCCCTTCAGGGCAATGAGGAGACCCCAGTGCAGCTCTATGTACAGTTACAGTGACAAGAGCAGGTGAGGACCACGTACCCTGCACATCTGCAGCCCATAGCTGATGCTCTGCTCACCTGCACCTGTGTCTCTAGTCCTCCCTAAATTTCCATTCCTGAAACTGGGCTGGAAACACACCTATCCCACTCTGTACGGGGAAGACCAAGAAAAGGTAGACCTAGACCTGAAAAACTCAGAAGGGGCACCCAGCACCCTTCGAGATTCACTTTCTATCTCAAGGACACTCTACCATGAAGGTCCTCTAAAATCACAAGAAATGAGAGCAGGAATAAAGAAATCAGTGAGTGGCCCACTACTGCGGGACTAGCTGGAATGGTGAACAAGCCAGTACTGGGCAGGAACAGAGACGGAAACAGTTTTGGCTAGCCTGGAGAAACCTAGACTTCAAAGGGTTAAGATTGACTGTGAGGGTTGTCCCCCGGGTCCCTCAGGTGTCTGGCCTTCTCTGCCTCCCGGTGGCCTCCCCAGCCTGGTCCTGAGTCCTGGGCATGCACTAGAAGACCTCAGCATCTGCAAAGCTGACTGTGTTCTGTCCCCATTCAGAAGCTGAGTTCAAGAGGACATGGCTCTAGGGAGGGTGGGCGAGAGAGGGGAGGCTCCTAGGAACAACCTCAAGTACAGATAACCAAGCCTGTCCTGAGTTCCTGCATCCTCATCAAACCGCTGGTCACCCCAAAGTCCGTTCTTGTAGGAGCAAAGTCGGCTCCTGGAAGAGAGCCCCGGAGGAGGAAGGAGGCCCTGGATGGATAGAGCTCGTCTGGCTGCGCACCAGATGTTGGTGCCTCGCGAACCCGGGCTACCCAGGTCTCCGACCAGGAGCAGGCGCTGGGCCCGCGGTAACGGAGACTCCTGGGTAGCTAAGCCTGGCCCAGCCCTGCGGGTCAGCAGGCTAGGAACACGCACGGGTTCCCACCAGCCCTGAGAGCTGCCGCGCAGGGTGCCTCGGGCGGCCACAACAAAGTTAAAGCCCAGAGTAAGAAATCTGCTGCGGTGAGAGAAGCGGAGAAGCCAGAGCCCCAGTAAGCCGCGCGCAGAACGCCAGCCGCCGCCAGCTGCGGAGGGATTTCGGCTAACTTTAAAAGCCACTCGCATCCCTCAGCCGCCGTCCCTGGCAGCGCTGGGCGGCCTTCTGCGCTCCCATTCCCCAGCCTCGGTTACCCCTGGTCGAAAGAGGCCTGGGCCTGGGGGGGGGGCACTGGAGCGACGTGCAGGGCACTGCCCCTCTCCTGCCCGGATCCTTGGCCAGCCAGGAGCAAAGAGATCAGCTGCCCTCGTCAGGCGAATCCATCTCCTGCACTCCTTGCCCGTGCCTGTCCCCGAGCTCCGGCGAGGCGCCCATGGGGGGACGACAAGGGGAAAGAAGTTGGCGCCTTCCCCAGGGCTCCCACTCTGCACGGAGGCCGGTCC